TTTTGCGTTTTTTTTTTTTTTTTTTTTTTTTTTTTTTTTTTTTTTTTTTTTTTTTTTTTTTTTTTTTTTTTTTTTTTTTTTTTTTACATATTATTTTTTTTTTTTGTTGAATTAATTATGTAATTATTAATTAGTGGGGTTTTTTTAGAGTGGTTTTATTACCAAACTAAGTGGCTATTAGATAATGATCAATAACGTTTGTTATTCTGGTTAGCTTTAATTACGTATTCGGTCACCTATTTTATTTTTACTTTTTTAAATTTAATTATGTTCCAATATATTTTACAAAACTTTTTAAAAAATATTGTAATAAATTTTAATTATGTCTCCAAAAAAAATTTTAATGTTTAAAAATTACAAAAATTAGAACCTTATTAAAAAAATAATAAATCAAAATATGAGTATTTGTGATCAGAGGTTCAAATCCTCACTTAAAACACTTAAAAAAAAAAATTCTAAAAATCCTCATACCAATAAAATAAATATTTATCTCGACTAAAAAGTCAATTTCAAATCTTCGTTAAGAGATAGAGACTTCATCAATTATCACCCAATGAACTATCTGCATACCACGACACCACGACAGGTAGAGCTATTGTGGTAAGCCCTGTAATTTTGTGGGTCTCGAAAAGAGACGTTGGAATACATTTTTCCATATTTACAATTGACATAAAACGAAAGTCATGTATTATAAAATAAGGACTTTGTCTCAAAGATACGCTTTTAACATGGGATATCACACCGAAAGTCGGATTAGGACTAACCATCTTCCACTAATTCTACTTACAACCTTAATTCCTTAAAAGAGTTACTTTAACACGACCGGTTGAAGCTTATGATTGTACACAAGAAAATAATTAACATAAAAATAAGAATCAAACCATAAATGTATTAGTTTAGTATATTGTTTTTTTTACATGCAATAAAAAAAAAAAAAAAAATGTTGCCTTCCAGGCTATATATCACGTGAAAAACACGTGCTTTCTCTCTCCAATTCAATTTTAAAATTAATTAACCACTCGAATCCCATATGTTTATATAAGAAGATGCATGTGAGAATATAAAAATATTTAACTACTTAATTTTAAATTTCATAAAATAATACTAATATCCTGAAAATGTCACAATTAACCCTTAAAAATAATCCATATATAATATAGTATATGCTATTTTGTGGGTCAAAATGTAGTATTTTAAATGCAACCACAATAAATGATAATTATGAGGTACACCATTTCTTTACGCTTTCAAGTACTCCTTAAATATATATTTTTTTAAAATAATATAATTTTGAACAATATATATCCAAAATATCAACAAATTCAGAGTCATTTATTGGGTTTCTCTTTGAGAAATGATTGATCATAATGACCTATCTCATAGAGTGATGAATTAACTATAGTCATCTCTACAAAAGCCCACAAAAATGGATCAACAAAGTTACCTGACACTGTACAATTCTTTACGCACTTCAGTTCATATTTGACAGCAAATTGGCCATGGCAATGAGGCAAAGATGAACCTTCTAAACTTCGAAATACTGAGCTACCCTTATCAACTCCAATCTTCTGTCCTGTTCTTATTTTCTTGCAAGATTGACCGAAGGCAATAAGAAGGTCGAGTTTTTACAATGGGGTACTCTAAGGTCCTACACGACCGAGACTGAGATTTGAATGCATGGAACGATATGGTGAATTTGAATTGAATGTAACCATGAACTGATACCTGCAATATTCTTGAATTGCCAGACAGCTTCAAGAAAGAATCCCAGTTGATTTAGATAAGCAATGTTGCGCTTAAGAGTGGCTATAAGTTAGCTGTGATATCTGTTTCATCTTCTTCCATTAGCAAGTTTCATGTCCTACAGATGATAGTGGAAGTTAGAGACCAAAGGAAGCAGTCACTTTAATAATCAAAACCTTCCGATTTTAGTTTTGAAAAAAAAAAAAAAAAAATTTGTCAAAGAAGCATATTACGATGAAAGATGCGATAACTTCTGGGAAAAAAAAAATCAAAATGCTACGGCAGATGCATCAAGAAATCCTAAATCTTTTCAGAGAATTGTAACATGCTTTCCATGTTAGTAAAAGAAAGGACATAAAACGTTTTTCGTTTTATAAGAAGGATATAAAAACATACTTCCCATGTTAGTAACATGCTTTTCCACAAAGCTTATAGAGATGCTACAAAAAAGCTTGCATAGCTATGTTAAAATGCTATCAAACAATTTCATAGTTGTTTGGAAACTTAATGAAATACTTTTCATAGCCTAGTGAATCGCTATCAAGTTCAAACTATCTGGACTAAATTAGAGGGGGAAGTGTATAGATCGTACCAGCATCATGCTTACTCAACAGCCAAGATTTTGGGAAGTACTCAATCAAAAGGCCATACACAAAAATGGGAGATGAGATGTCCCCTAAGAGCCCAGAGAGCCAAGGGATCATAATTTAACTTTTTTTTTTCTTTTTTTTTTTGAAAAGACACCATAAAGCCAAAGGGTAGCAGAAACAGCATTGATCCACAAACCTCCGGCATGGTTTTTGAAGTTAAGGCAAAAAAGGAGCTGGAGAAGGGAGTCCTCATATGATCGGGGAAACACCAACTTAACCCAAAAGTACTGAAAAAGCTTTGCCCAACAGGCTTTAGCGACTGGACATTGGAAAATAAATGTGGCCGTGACTCTTGGAGCTCTCTTTACACAATAAACACCAATTTGGAGAGTGGATATAGTTGGGCATTCTTCTTTGGATATTATCACAAGCGTTAAGTTTCCCTTAAAGAGAGAAACAAAGAAATACCTTCAACTTTCTTAGGAATTTTGGACTTCCAAATGCAGTTGATAAACGCTGGGCTAGTCTTACCATGCTTGGCTGATAAATTGATGGATTTTACAGAAAAGTGGCCACCATTTTTAGGAGGTGTTTGGATCATTTCTAGCTAATTATAGAAAATCAAACAATTAATATGCTACCAACCTTTTCACTGTGTACTTCCCATGCATATCAGGGTCAAAAGACCAACATATTAAGACTGGTGGTTGTGGAAATGTGCCAAGGACTGCAATAGAAGGAAAAAGCCACACAATATTATGACGGAATAACATCCATCAGAATAAATTGAACAAAACAAAAGAAAGAATAATACCCTCTTACTTAATTAGCTACTCTGTAGCATAATTTTGTTTCTTCAAATCTTCAAAGCTGTAAGATGATCTCCAAGGTTGATTCAACATGTGAAAATTATAATTCTACGCAAGAAAATATTTTTCTCTCTACTGTGAACAACAATAGGAGAATACCTAATTGCCTCCTCTTGGAATTTGGACATGAACCCAGGATTCTACAGCCAAAAAGCATGCCAAAACCAAAAAAACATGTTAACAAGTTATGAAGTGAAGTATCTCTGATGTATTTTTGGTATTATATGCAAGTACATATAGAAGATACCATTAGTTAAAAAGTTGTGATTATCTTAGTCAATCGTGATTTTGAGTTGTGCAAGCTCATGTTTAACAAAGCAATACTGAACTTGATTCGATTAAATCCAATTTGAAGTTAGTTCTCAAAAGTTTTAGAGCGAATGCTGGCTAAGAATATTAACACTAAGGAACCAAAATAAGTAATCATATTGGATAATCAGATTAATTTAGAGGCTCGGGATTGTGTTCAAGATATTCCTACCTTTTAGAAGCTCTGGTCTTTGGATCTTGAAAACGTTTTTCACTTATAAATTTCACCTCTTATTTTTACAAAATATAATCAAACACGAAACAGATTTGTTATTTTCTTTTGAAAAAAACTAAAGAATTGAACATAAAGCATATTCTAAAAAGCAACGTGCATCCATTTAGTTGCCATTTGCCAAAGATGAAAATGAAATGTAGGAAAAATTTAAGGAGAAAAACGAAATCCAAAAACATTTTATTATTGTCATTCTTGAAAATTCAACACGAAACCAAGCATTGAATTTTAGAAGCTTGTAATAAACTTTAAACACAAGATAAAAAGCAATAATGCCTAAGAGTACTTTAAAATAAGAATGTGATTGGAACTTTTGCAGAAGTAAAGGTCACTGTAGAGGACATTTCCCAGGAAAAGGTTTCAAATCAGAAATTTAAGTGTGAGGAGAAAATGGAAACAGAGAAAAATCTGATTACAATCTAGAAGTATAGAAATACTCACTGTAAATGACTTTCTTGTCTCCAAAATTGTATAGCAGATCTCAAACAAATGCTCGGCAGTAATATATACAGCAACTCTGAGAGAAATGGAAAACCAACTGGCACTGTTTCTGTTATTGAGTTCTCCTCTACGATGGAAATGAAAATTTTCTCCGCTACTCACTTAGCCTGGACTTCGAATAATCGTCTACAAATAAATGATCAGAAAAGATATATTTCAGCTCAGAGACACCACTAACCAAAAAATATTACAGAATGATGTGCAAGTCATTAGAATTGAATGAGAGTTGGCTGATACAAATAGAAACAACACATACACACGAAAATAGACACATTTTTTCTCTTAATTTGTTTGTCAAGATTCACTAGAAGCAGGAGGGCAGTGAATGAGGAGCTTCAATTACATGAGTTAGATTGATAAAATTATGGTTGGTAGGTTTATTTATCAAGCCAGCTAGGCCTCAGAAGTTTTTTTTTTTTCCCCCTTTTTGGTGACTTGAACTGAGTTTTAGGATTATTCAATTCAACTCTTTTTAACTGTCAATTTTTTTCAACTCTTTCTTAACTATATCTTCATATTTTTTGGATTATTCTCATTCGGATTCGGATATGGTCTCAGCTCATTCATGCACCCCTCATTTACCTCTTTTAAGCATAAAAGGAAAGAAAAATTTTAAAAAGATAAACTAAAAGTAGTAATTAAAAAAACAAAGAAAAATAGTTGCAAAATAATTATTGTAATCAAAATTAAATTAAAAATTAATTAAAAATAAATAAAGAAAAGAAAAAAGCAACCCATGGGGTTGAAGTCAAAAGGGTTAGGAAGCCATGGTTTCCTAAGCCCATCCCATGAAACAAACACTCCCATAACGGTTGTAGTGCAACTAAGGATTACAAATATATTTTAATGAATAATCGATTGAAAAAATATGGAAGAATGAGAAGACACATAAAAAGAGTCTACCAAGGGTGGAGGTCACCTAAAGGAAGGGCCCCATCAAATAAAATAACACCAGAAGAATAATTACAAAGCGAATTAACCACCAAAGCCCACAAAGACACATCAAATCTAACAAGAGTCCATACATACCTAGCAAACCTCTCAAGGCCTCTATTATTCCTCTCCCCTAAAAGACCTCACAAAATGGTGCGCACCCCAACCTATCACAACAACCTTCCTTACTCACGAGAAGGAGGATAAAGAAGGAATTCCTTGATCATTTCCCTGCAACGCCTATATCTAGCAAGGCTGAAGCCAAACTCCTCGAAAAAATAATTCCAAATAGTTTGGGCTAAACCAAACTCCAGAGGATATAATAAAGGTCCTCAACAACCATTTTGCAAATAATGCAACAAAGCGAATCAATCAGCATGGGCCTCTACCTCCAAACTCAATCTAAGGTGTTAAACCTTCCATAGAGAACCCGTCACACACAAAAAAAAACTTAACCTTCTTTGAACAAGTCAAAGACACCACTCGAAAGAGAGAGATTGACCAAATAAAGAAAGAGGGATTTACAAGAAAAGTCTTCAAAGGGTGAAAGGCTTCAAGGACAAACATTCCTTCTTCCAGGAATACTACAAAACTCCTCGATCAACTAGAGGAGGTCAATAACATCAATGTTTCTCACTTGGACAAGGCACGATGAACCCCAAAACAGGTAAAGGAGAGGTCTGAGAGTTAGAGAACACATCTACCACATAAATAATTTTTTTATCAAAGATAAAATATATTACAAAAATGAGAGTAGATGGAACTATCCCTTAATCACTTATCCTCCCAGAAAAAAAAAAAGCACTCTCCAATTTCCCACCAATCAATGGACAAAGCCCCCTCAGTTATATAACCTTCCAAGGGGCTTTGGAAGTGTCCTTGCCCTCCAATCCACCCCAAGGGGAAAAGCCCATATCTACTCAACACCCTTACACTAAAGGGAGTTAAAGACTCAAGGTAGAAACACCAAAGTCATTTAGCCAGGAGCGCACTGTTACGGACTAAAATTTCCTATTTCCAAATTCCCTTCAACCACTGGTTTCGTCACCACCTCCTCCCTAACTAGATATGACCATCTCTTCCACAGGCCTTTCCCATAGAAATCATTCATAAACTTCTCCACGGGTTTACTCACCGACATTGGGATCCTTAAAACTAAGGATCATTCACAAGAAGGGGATGGCTACATGCAACCTAAACATGTTTTCACCTCAGAAAAATCATTTGACTTGATTTAAAGCCTAAATGTAGACATAGATTAAATTATCACTTGACGTTGAAACTGGAAAAAAAAAATGAAAAAAATGAAAAAAGCTCGAAATTCACGAAAATGAAATGTAATAACCACTACAATCTATATCTTAAGAAAAAATATATAAGCATAAAGGCAGAATGAAACAGTATAGCATAACTAGTGGAACAACTCAACTTGTCCTACCCTCACAAAAACGCCTTGCCATGAAGAAACTTCATGCTTCTACGAGGATATCAAACACCCTTACTCATGGGTATACAAAAACCATGGAAATAACTCATTCTCAAGGTCAATCCTCCAAACCTTGTACCAAACAAGTGAAACATAATCCTTGTTGATTCTCACCCTTATTCTCATCCCCATACCCCCAATCCAAATGGCCCCTAAAATTCATACCAGCCAATAGTATTGTCTATAAATGAAACAATATGTTTCAAAGATCACAGCTCATTATATTGGTAAGAATCTACGACTTATAAATGCATGCATGAACAACTAGAGGAAATGGAATATATTCAGAAATTTCAACCATTTTATATAAACATCTTTGACATCAACAAAAGAGTAAGGTTACCTTATGTTGCAAATCAGTAATCGGTTCACAGTCAGATTCTTCCTCTCCTTCAGAGTCAGCCATCTCCTCGCACTCAAACTCAACATTTTCTTCAACTTCTTCATCAGTGTCACTTAATTCCTCCTGTTCCATTATGATACCTGGATGAGAATGGTCATCCACATCATCATTGCTATTGTCCACAGATGCTAGAACCAGAGGATGAGCATCGGAAACAAGATTTCCCGCTTCATTAGCCCTTCGTGTTTCTCCATGCAAATGAATGTTATGTAGGTTCTCTAATGCTTCTGACTTTCGAGCAGTTATTGACTTCAACTGATCATGGGCACTGAATAGTCTATTCCTTGGAACAGTATCTTTGTTCGATGTTGAGCTAAGGTGCATCTCTAAATCCAAATAAGTCTTATCACCACGCTTAGAGGGCTTAGCAGCCTTAGTCAGCTGTCCATTACTAACCAAAGATTGGTTCTGTACAGCACCAAATATGTCGTGAGCATGAGGAGATCTGCCCCCAGAACATGATACAAAAGCATCTGAAGGTGCAGCCGTCTGTGCTTGATTTATATCATCAGTTCTTTGCAGGAGGGGATGGAAGTCAATACTATGTGATGAAGTGGACTTCTTTGACTTGAATTTTTCAAAACCAACATGGTACTCTGGCTGTGGATTATAAAATAGACTGAGATTCAACTGAGGTTGGTTTCCTGAGAAGAAACTGAAAGGGTCAGATGTACTAGAATTACAATTTAAGGGGTAATAAGGCACAGATCCATCATCCGAGGCCCGGAAAAGTAAAGGATGCATTTGAAGATCAGAATCCGTGCCCCTTTCTGTTTCAGTAGAGTTATCATTGTTAGCTCTGCATTCCATACTTGATTTAGAACCATCTTCCAACAGTGGGATGATATTGTTTGGATTGTTTGGATTGTTTGGTGAATTACTATTGTTCAACCTGCTATTAACTGTATCCATCACTTGAGAAATTTCCTTATTACTTTTGGCAACAAAAGCCTTTTCTGGTGCTCCAAATAGAGATCCTCTGAAAAATGACTGGGGAACTACACGAACGGATGGAGGGAGATTGACAGGTGGAAGGTCTGGAGCTAGTTTGACCAAATGTGAACTATTAGATCTACGAGCCCGATTATTCTTAGAGTAGATAGGGGACTTTACATCTGAAACTCTGAGATTTTGTTCATTTGTAGTGGGGGCATGTCCAGTTGTGGTTGAAATAGATGCTGGAGGCTCTGAGTATGTTGATCCAGAAGAAAACCAATGATTTTTTTTTTTCTGGGTTTGTATATCTCCAGATTCGAATGTGTTACATTGTTCTTTGCTTTGGATATCCTTTTGTGGTATTATATCACAAGGAAGGTTACCATTAGTGGGATTTGAGCAAGAAAGTCCACTGGAGGTACCTGGTCTCCAATCTGCAACGAAGGCTGCATTTAAAAAAGGAGCACCATCGTTATCCACGTTCCCACATCTACTGTTATTTATCCTGCCAGTATTTTCAGACTCGGAATACTGCAAAAACATCAAATGAAAACACTTGAACTATTAGTGAAGAGAAATTTCCAAACTCATCAAACTATTACCTCATATATCAAATTCAGACGTAAAACTTTGGGTGAAACTAAATAGTGTTAAAGTGGGTGGACTATCTGATAGTTGAGCAGACATGCATTTTCAGCTAGCTAAGACATGTATAAAATCTAATGAATAAAACCAATTTCTAATTTATTGATAGGCCAGCCTTACATGTAACTCTTATATTTCTTTTAACATGAAACAAATTTTTTCTTTAAAAAAATTAAAAAGAGATTAGTGCTCAAAGAATACAACCTCCACAAAGGAGGGAAGATGAAGACAGCAACAAAAACAAGACCAAATTAAGAAAACAAATTGAAAAAAGGCCTAAAGAAGAAACAAAAGAGCATAACCAAACCATGAAATAAACGATAAAGAAGGAAATAAAAAAAAACAACCCAAATGATAAGTCCAGCAAAAGGCTTTGATAAATAGCTCCATGTTAAGGTCATGAGACAGGAAGCTGCATAACTTTTGAACCAACAAATCAACAATATGGTAAACAAAATCAGAGATGAGACTGATTCGTCTTGATTCCTCCTTTCTTCAAAAACAGGAAACCAAGAAAACGTTGAAGAAAGAGGATGAACAAAAACTGCTCCTCACACTGACAAAACTCACAACTGAAGAGGAAGGAAGAAGAAGATGGACCCCAGGCAAAAAACCAACCTCATTTGAAATTCTACATCGCGGAGATCTTTCAAGCGCCCTACTTTTGGTACTAATCCATGAGAAGAGTTACTCAGCAAACAATGAGACACTAAAGAGCTTTAACTTTTGGTGAGTGAATGGGAATTGTCCACATCTGCAATCCACATACCTCAGCAAGAAAAGAAAATTAGGGTGGAATTTGGAGATAAATCTTTGGTGAAACTATTCCATCAGACACAATGACCCCTTGCTCATTAACTTCATTTGACAATAGATTTTTGAAAGTTGCTACAAATGAATCTTTTAGAAACTGATCAGCCTGCTCTAGTTTTGGAATAAGAGAAACAGATTCCTCAGCTACTCATACTAACATCCAATTCCTCATCTGAATCAAAACTAGAAATATTTTTCCTAGTTGTTGAGTGTCTTGAGACACCTTTGGAGAATTATATGTTCGAACCAGGAAGAGTAACTTGTGATTGGCTAAGTTTGGGTAGGATATAAGGACATTGCAGTTTTGAACCTTTAGTGGGGGACTCTAATGGATTTCATAAATGAGTCAAAGACAAACACAAGATTCTTTGACTCTGAATGTTCAATGAAAGAAGGAGCTCTTTTTCCCGAGTATAATGAAGAGGGAAAGCTTTTACAAATCTTGGCTTTGGTTGTGAAAAAATCACCAAGGAATCAGTAGCATTAATACCCTCCAATGGGATAAGAGGGTTAATGACTTCATGCCATATCAAGATCAACCGAATTAACTTGCTAATCATAGAGATCTTTGAACCATCAACAACTATCACAAAATCCTATTCATTTAGCAAAACAAACCCTTCAACTTCCTAACCTGATTTATCTCTTTAAATCCACTGAATTTGTAAAGTCTTTAAGGGACAAATTACCATGATTCAAACTTCTCTTTCTTGGACAGGTAAATCTAATCTAATGACTAATGCCACCTTTTAATTTATTGACAGCCTTACAGATAATTTGCTTTTTGACCCCCCAACCAGATGAGAAGTTGTACAAAAAAAATTTAGTCAAGGTGTTCTAGTGGCCCTCTACTAGGGAAGTATCAATAAGTGTGAAAAGTTCACATGAGAAACCCAGGTTTGTCCTACAAGTTGCACTATCTGAAAGATGAACGAGGAAGATGTTTGCACCCTTTTCCTTCATGCTCTTTCAAGTTGAATTGTTGAAGGAAGGAAGATATAACGCATTACTTAGCTTTGAGGCAATATTTCCTAGGGGTGTCCAAGGCTTTATATCTTACAAATGCTTGTGGGAAACCCAATCTTAGAAAAGGGTGAAGGCCTTAGGATTGAAATGTTCCTAGGAGAACATTTGGGAAAATTGTCTGAGAAAAATAAAGGAACATTTCAAGGAAGAGTTCTGGGGAGTCTAAGGATCTTTCCTTTAATGCCTCCTGCTGTTGCAGAATTTTTTTTTTTTTTTTTTTTTTTTTTTTTTTTTTTTTTTTTTTTTTTTTTTTTTGTCATT